CATGTTAGTAGAATCACAGGTCTAGCAAAACCAAACCACTGCAGCAAAGAGGTACGATGTTCACAGGCAGGAAACTGCAGGCTACATCATGACAATGAAATTATTTGCAAGTGGCACTCTAAAGCAGCCAAAGGAGCAATTCATACTTTGAGGAATATTTAACAACCATGGGCTAAGAAATAGTGCCCCATCATTGGTGTCAGTGGGAGGAATAGTGCCCCATCATTGGTGTCAGTGGGAGGAATAGTGCCCCAACATTGGTGTCAGTGGGGGGAATAGTGCCCCATCATTGGTGTCAGTGGAGGAATAGTGCCCCATCATTGGTGTCAGTGGGAGGAATAGTGCCCCATCATTGGTATCAGTGGAAGGAATAGTGCCCAACATTGGTGTCAGTGGGAAGGAATAGTGTCCCATCATTGGTGTCAATGGGAGGAATAGTGCCCCATCATTGGTATCAGTGGGAGGAATAGTGCCCATCATTGGTGTCAGTGGGAGGAATAGTGTCCCATCATTGGTATCAGTGGGAGGTATAGTGCCCCATCATTGTGTCAGTGGGAGGAATAGTGCCCCATCATTGGTGTCAGTGGAAGGAATAGAGCCCCATCATTGGTGTCAGTGGGAGGAATAGTGCCCCATCATTGGTGTCAGTGGGAGGAATAGTGTCCCATCATTGGTGTCAGTGGAACAGTGCCCCATCATTGGTATCAGTGGGAAATAGTGTCCCATATGGTGTCAGTGGAAGGAATAGTGTCCCATCATTGGTGTCATCAGTGGGAGGAATAGTGCCCCATCATTGGTGTCAGTGGGAGAATAGTGCCCCATCATTGGTGTCAGTGGGAGGAATAGTGCCCCATCATCAGTGGGAGGATCTAGTGCCCCAATCATTGGTATCAGTGGGAGGAATAGTGATCATTGGTGCCCCATCAGTGGGTGGGAGGAATAGTGCCCCATCATTGGTGTCAGTGGGAGGAATAGTGCCCCATCATTGGTGTCAGTGGGAGGAATAGTGTCCCATTCATTGGTGTCAGTGGGAGGAATAGTGTCCCCCATCATTGGTGTCAGTGCCCCAACAATTGGTGTCAGTGGGAGAATAGTGCCCCATCATTGGTGTATCAGTGGGAGGAATAGTGCCCCATCATTGGTATCAGTGGGAGGAATAGTGCCCCATCATTGGTGTCAGTGGGAGGAATAGTGCCCCATCATTGGTGTCAGTGGGAGGAATAGTGCCCCATCATTGGTGTCAGTGGGAGGAATAGTGCCCCATCATTGGGAGGAATAGTCCCCATCATTGGTATCAGTGGAGGAGGATTGGTGTCAGTGGGAGGAATAGTGCCCCATCATTGGTGTCAGTGGGAGGAATAGTGCCCCATCATTGGTGTCAGTGGGAGGAATAGTGCCCCATCATTGGTATCAGTGGGAGGAATAGTGCCCCATCATTGGTGTCAGTGGGAGGAATAGTGCCCCATCATTGGTGTCAGTGGGAGGAATAGTGCCCCATCATTGGTGTCAGTGGGAGGAATAGTGCCCCCATCATTGGTATCAGTGGGAGGAATAGTGCCCCATCATTGGTGTCAGTGGGAGGAAATAGTGCCCCATCATTGGTGTCAGTGGGAGGAAGTGTGCCCCATCATTGGTGTCAGTGGGAGGAATAGTGCCCCATCATTGGTGTCAGTGGGAGGAATAGTGCCCCATCATTGGTGTGGGAGGAATAGTGCCCCATCATTGGTATCAGTGGGAGGAATATAGTGCCCCATCATTGGTGTCAGTGGGAGGAATAGTGCCCATCATTGGTGTCAGTGGGAGGAATAGTGCCCCATCATTGGTGTCAGTGGGAGGAATAGTGCCCCCATCATTGGTGTCAGTGGGAGGAATAGTGCCCCATCATTGGTATCAGTGGGAGGAATAGTGCCCCATCATTGGTGTCAGTGGTGGGAGGAATAGTGCCCCATCATTGGTATCAGTGGGAGGAATAGTGCCCCATCATTGGTGTCAGTGGGAGGAATAGTGCCCCATCATTGGTATCAGTGGGAGGAATAGTGCCCCATCATTGGTGTCAGTGGGAGGAATAGTGCCCCATCATTGGTGTCAGTGGGAGGAATAGTGCCCCATCATTGGTGTCAGTGGGAGGAATAGTGCCCCATCATGGAGGGTGCCCCATCAGTGGGAGGAATAGTGCCCCATCATTGGTGTCAGTGGGAGGAATAGTGCCCCATCATTGCTATCAGTGGGAGGAATAGTGCCCCATCATTGGTGTCAGTGGGAGGAATAGTGCCCCATCATTGGTATCAGTGGGAGGAATAGTGTCCCATCATTGGTGTCAGTGGGAGGAATAGTGCCCCATCATTGGTGTCAGTGGGAGGAATAGTGCCCCATCATTGGTGTCAGTGGGAGGAATAGTGCCCCATCATTGGTGTCAGTGGGAGGAATAGTGTCCCATCATTGGTATCAGTGGGAGTGGAAGGAAGTGCCCCATCATTGGTGTCAGTGGGAGGAATTGTGCCCCATCATTGGTGTCAGTGAGAGGAATAGTGCCCCATCATTGGTGTCAGTGGGAAGGAATAGTGCCCCATCATTGGTGTCAGTGGGAAGGAATAGTGCCCCATCATTGGTATCAGTGGGAGTACTAGTGTCCCATAATTGGTGTCAGTGGGAGGGATAGTGCCCCATCATTGGTGTCAGTGGAAGGAATAGAGCCCCATCATTGGTGTCAGTGGGAGGAATAGTGCCCCATCATTGGTGTCAGTGGGAGGAATAGTGTCCCATCATTGGTGTATCAGTGGAACAGTGCCCCATCATTGGTATCAGTGGAAGGAATAGTGCCCCATCATTGGTGTCAGTGGGAGGAATAGTGCCCCATCATTGGTGTCAGTGGGAGGAATAGTGCCCCATCATTGGTGTCAGTGGGGGGAATAGTGCCCCATCATTGGTATCAGTGGGAGGAATATTGTCCCTTCATTGGTGTCAGTGGGAGGAATAGAGCCCCATCATTGGTGTCAGTGAGAGGAATAGAGCCCCATAATTGTAAATTGTTGTTTTGGATCTCATGTTGGTGTGCCGGCTTTTTTCTGCATGTGGATTTACACGCCACCACCGTCTAGATGTGCAGGCCGCCTCTACAGACGGATCGGTAAGACTTGTTGTGCGGAATGGTCTGAGACTGAGTGCCATCTTCTGGCTGCATGTGGTAAGAATGTATTATATAATCTAAATTAATTATGACTTAATATGATTGATTAATTATGTGCAACATTTAATTATATATGTTATGGCCAGGGGTATATAGGGGGTATATAGGGGGTAGTATATACAGTGTATGGGGTATATAGGGGTTATATATATATAGGGGTATTATAGGGGTATATACAGTGTATGTGGGTATATAGGGGTATATAGGATATAAAGGTATAGGGGTATATACAGTGTATGGGGTATATAGGGGTATATAGGGGTATATAGGGGTATATACAGTGTATGGGGTATATAGGGGTATATAGGGGTATATACAGTGTATGGGGTATATTATAATAGGGGTATATAGGGGTATTTAGGGTATATATATTTATTGGGGTATATACAGTGTGTATATAGGGGTATATAGGGGTATATAGGAGGTATATAGGGGTATTATAGGGGGTATTTAGGGGTATATAGGGGGTTATACAGTGTATGGGGTATATAGGGGTATATAGGGGTATATAGGGGTATATAGGTATATATAATAGGGGTAATATATAGAGGGTATATCGGTATATAGGGGTATATACAGTTATATATTATATAGTTATTTATATAGGGTATATATATTGGGGTATATATTAGTGTATATATATAGGGGTATATAGGGGTATATAGGGGTATATTATATATATAGGAGGTATATAGGGGTATATAGGGGTATATACAGTATAATTATATATAGGTATATATAGGGGTATATAGGGGTTTATACAGTGTATTATATGTGTAGGGGTATATAGGGGTATTATATATATGGGGTATTAGGGGTATATATAAAGGGTATTTGTATGGGGTATATTATTATATAGGGGTATATATGGGGTATATTTTATATAGTTGTAATGGGGTATATAGGGGTATATTTTAGGGGTATATAGGGGTATTATAGGATATTTATATATATTTTATATACAGTGTATGGGGTATATAGGGAATATTATATAGGGGTATATATATATACAGTGTATGGGGTATATAGGGGTATATAAGGGGTATATACAGTGTATATTTTTATATAGGGGTATATTTTTAATTATAGGTATATACAGTGTTATGGGGTATATAGGGGTATATATACAGTAAGTATAATAGGGTATTTTTATATAGGGGTTATATAGGGGTATATTAGGGGTATATAGTGTATGGGGTATTATAGGGGTATATAGGGGTATATTAGTATATAGGGGTATTAATTGGGTAGTATTTATGGGGTATTAATAGGGGTATATACAGTGTATGGGGTATATAGGGGTATATTTTATATACAGTGTATGGGGTATATATAGGGGTTTATAGGGGTATATAGGGGTATATACAGTGTATGGGGTAAATATTCATTATATACAGTAATATGAATGAATTATGAATTAATATTATTGTTAGTTTTATTTTATTATACAGGGTCTATATGGCACCAAGAGTTTGCGCAGCGCTGTACAATATAACGGCAGACATTTTACAGTTACAATACAATTTGGTAGAAGAGGAAACAGAGGGCCTGATCCTGGGAGCTTACAATCTAGGAGGTGGAGTTGAGTGATACAAAAGGTAATAGCTGTGGGGGGGAGGAGCTGATGGAGGAAATAAATGGCAGTTTACTAGGTAGACGCAGGATAGACTTATTTTTTAAAGAGAAAGGTTTTCAGGGATCATCTAAAGGTGGATAGATTAAGAGACAGCCGGACAGATTGGGGTAGGGAGTTTCCATAGGATGGGAGAAGCTATAGAGGCTAGCATGGGAGGAGGTGACACTGGAACTAGAGAGCAGAAGGTCTTGGGAGGATCGAAGAGAGAGGTCATTTTGGGTGATATTTTGGGACCAGGTTGGTGATGTAGCTGGCGGCAGAGTTGTGGAGGACACTGAATGGAGGTCTGTAGAAGGGTTGGCAGAGAGGGGTGGAGGACACTGAATGGAGGGCAGTGGAGGGATTGGCAGAGAGGGGTGGAGGGCACTGAATGGAGGTCAGTGGAGGGATTGGCAGAGAGGGGTGGAGGGCACTGAGTGGAGACCAGTGGAGGGATTGGCAAGAGGGGTGGAGGACACTGATTGGAGGCCAGTGGAGGGATTGGCAGAGAGGGGTGGGGGACACTGAGTGGAGGCCAGTGGAGGGATTGGCAGAAAAATTGGAGGACACTGATTTTTAAACCAGTGGAGGGATTGGCAGAGAGGGGTGGAGGACACTGAATGGAGGGCAGTGGAGGGATTGGCAGAGAGGGGTGGAGGACACTGAGCGGAGTTATGGAGGGATTGCAGAGAGGGGTGGAGGACACTGAGTGGAGGGCAGTGGAGGGATTTGGCAGAGAGGGGTGGAGGACACTGAGTGGAGGGCAGTCCAAGGGATTGGCAAGATGGGGTGGAGACACTGAGTGGTTGGTAAGGTGGATTAACCTGACCTCAGCATTCATGAATTTTAATTAATATGGTTGATTGATTAGGTGTAACAAATCGCAACCTCGCCAACCTATAACCGGCCTTTGCAGCAAAGGGAAACATGGAAGGGCGACGCATGTAAAAAAAACGAACAGAAAATCCCAGCTAACTGACCGTTTAGCCTGCAGCAAACTGAATTATTCCTGCCTAAGCCTGCCTAATCCTGCCTAACCCTATTTAACCCTGCCTAACCCTGCCTAACCCTATCTAATCCCTAATCCTGATATATAACCCCGCCTAACCCTATCTAACATGCCTAACCCCTGCCTAACCCGTTAACCCTATCTAACCCTGCCTAACCCTGCTAACCCTGCCTAACCCTGCCTAACCCTATCTAACCCTGCCTAACCCTGTCCTAACCCTGCCTAACCCTGCCTAACCCTATCTAACCCTGCCTATACCCTGCCTAACCCTGCCTAATTACATTCTAACCCTGCCTAACCCTATAACCCTAACAATTAACCTGTCTAACCCTGCCTAACCCTGTCTAATCCCTGCCTACCCCTGTCTAACCCCCCTAAACCCCGCCTAACCCTGTCTAAAACCCTGTCTAAACCCTACCTAATTTGGCTAATAACCCCGCCTAATTATTGTCTAACCCTGTCTAACCCTACCTAACCCTGCCTAAACCTGTTTTAACCCTGCCTAACCCCGCCTAATAACCCCGCCTAACCCTGTCTAACCCTGTCTAAAACCCTACCTAAATGCCTAATAAATGCCAGGTAACACTGAGTCTAACCCTAACCTATTAGCAACCCCGTTAACCCCGCCTAACCCCGCCTAACCCTGTCTAACCCTGTCTAACCTAATACTAGAATGATAAACCCCGCCTAACCCTAACCTAACCCTGCCTATATTATTAACCCTGCCACCCAAACCCTGCCTAACCCTTCATAAAGTCTAACAGATCACTAAAAACGGGGGGTTTAGTTTGCACACAATTTTGAACCTAAGATACACGCATGTCATGGCACGCCAGCTCTTCAAGTTTTTTGAGAGTTTTTCAGAGTTGGAGCACATATATAATATAAAAAATAGATTGTGGGCAAACCCCTGGCGATGATCACTCCATGTATAATACATAGGGGGGATATGATCTCCATGTATAATACATAATAAGGGGGGATATGATCTCCATGTGTATAATACATAAGGGGGGATATGATCTCCATGTATAATACATAAGGGGGGGGATATCTCCATGTATAATACATAAGGGGGGGATATGATCTCCATGTATAATACATAAGGGGGATATGATCTCCATGTATAATACATAAGGGGGGATATGATCTCCATGTATAATACATAAGGGGGGATATGATCTCCATGTATAATACATAAGGGGGATATGATCTCCATGTATAATACATAAGGGGGGATAATAATACATAAGGGGGGATATGATCTCCATGTATAATACATAAGGGGGGATATGATCTCCATGTATAATACATAAGGGGGGGATATGATCTCCATGTATAATACATAAGGGGGGATATGATCTCCATGTATAATATACATAAGGGGGGGGGATATGATCTCCATGTATAATACATAAGGGGGGATATGATCTCCATGTATAATACATAAGGGGGGATATGATCTCCATGTATAATACATAAGGGGGGATATGATCTCCATGTATAATACATAAGGGGGGATATGATCTCCATGTATAATACATAAGGGGGGATATGATCTCCATGTATAATACATAAGGGGGGATATGATCTCCATGTATAATACATAAGGGGGGATATGATCTCCATGTATATAATACATAAGGGGGGATATGATCTCCATGTATATAATACATAAATAAGGGGGGATATGATCTCCATGTATATATAATACATAAGGGGGATATGATCTCCATGTATAATACATAAGGGGGGGATATGATCTCCATGTATAATACATAAGGGGGGATATGATCTCCCATGTATAATACATAAGGGGGGATATGATCTCCATATAATACATACATAGGGGGGGATATGATCTCCATGTATAATACATAAGGGGGGATATGATCTCCATGTATAATACATAAGGGGGGATATGATCTCCATGTAATAATACATAAGGGGGGATATGATCTCCATGTATAATACATAAGGGGGGATATGATCTCCATGTATAATACATAAGGGGGGTATAATACATAAGGGGATATGATCTCCATGTATAATACATAAGGGGGGGGGGGATATGATCTCCATGTATAATACATAAGGGGGGATATGATCTCCATGTGTATAATACATAAGGGGGGATATGATCTCCATGTATAATACATAAGGGGGGATATGATCTCCATGTATAATACATAAGGGGGATATGATCTCCATGTAATATAATACATAAGGGGGGGGATATGATCTCCATGTATAATACATAAGGGGGGGATATGATCTCCATGTATAATACATAAGGGGGGATATGATCTCCATGTATAATACATAAGGGGGGATATGATCTCCATGTATATAATACATAAGGGGGGGGGATATGATCTCCATGTATAATACATAAGGGGGGATATGATCTCCATGTATAATACATAAGGGGGGATATGATCTCCATGTATAATACAGGGGGGATATGATCTCCATGTATAATACATAAGGGGGGGGATATGATCTCCATGTATAATACATAAGGGGGGATATGATCTCCATGTATAATACATAAGGGGGGATATGATCTCCATGTATAATACATAAGGGGGGATATGATCTCCATGTATAATACATAAAGGGGGGATATGATCTCCATGTATAATACATAAGGGGGGGGGATATGATCTCCATGTATATAATACATAAGGGGGGATATGATCTCCATGTATAATACATAAGGGGGGATATGATTCCATGTATAATACATAAGGGGGGATATGATCTCCATGTATAATACATAAGGGGGGATATGATCTCCATGTATAATACATAAGGGGGGATATGATCTCCATGTATAATACATAAGGGGGGATATGATCTCCATGTATAATACATAAGGGGGGATATGATCTCCATGTATAATACAAGGGGGGGATATGATCTCCATGTATAATACATAAGGGGGGGATATGATCTCCATGTATAATACATAAGGGGGGATATGATCTCCATGTATAATACATAAGGGGGGATATGATCTCCATGTATATAATACATAGGGGGGGGGATATGATCTCCATGTATAATACATAAGGGGGGATATGATCTCCATGTATAATACATAAGGGGGATATGGGATACATGATATGATCTCCATGTATAATACATAAGGGGGGGGGGATATGATCTCCATGTAATATAATAGGGGGGGGATATGATCTCCATGTATAATACATAAGGGGGGATATGATCTCCATGATAATACATAGGGGGATATGATCTCCATGTATAATACATAAGGGGGGATATGATCTCCATGTATAATACATAAGGGGGGGATATGATCTCCATGTATATACAAATACATAAGGGGGGATATGATCTCCATGTATAATACATAAGGGGGGATATGATCTCCATGTATAATACATAAGGGGGGATATGATCTCCATGTATAATACATAAGGGGGGATATGATCTCCATGTATAATACATAAGGGGGGATATGATCTCCATGTATAATACATAAGGGGGGGGATATGATCTCCATGTATAATACATAAGGGGGGATATGATCTCCATGTATAATACATAAGGGGGGATATGATCTCCATGTATAATACATAGGGGGGGGATATGATCTCCATGTATATAATACATAAGGGGGGATATGATCTCCATGTATAATACATAAGGGGGGATATGATCTCCATGTATAATACATAAGGGGGGATATGATCTCCATGTATAATACATAAGGGGGGATATGATCTCCATGTATAATACATAGGGGGGATATGGGGGATATGATCTCCATGTATAATACATAAGGGGGGATATGATCTCCATGTATATAATACATAAGGGGGGATATGATCTCCATGTATAATACATAAGGGGGGGGATATGATCTCCATGTATAATACATAAGGGGGGGGATATGATCTCCATGTATAATACATAAGGGGGGATATGATCTCCATGTATAATACATAAGGGGGGGATATGATCTCCATGTATAATACATAAGGGGGGGGATATGATCTCCATGTATAATACATAGGGGGGGGGGATATGATCTCCATGTATAATACATAAGGGGGGATATGATCTCCATGTATAATACATAAGGGGGGATATGATCTCCATGTATAATACATAAGGGGGGGGATATGATCTCCATGTATAATACATAAGGGGGGATATGATCTCCATGTATAATACATAAGGGGGGATATGATCTCCATGTATAATACATAAGGGGGGGATATGATCTCCATGTATAATACATATAAGGGGGGGATATGATCTCCATGTATAATACATAAGGGGGGATATGATCTCCATGTATAATATACATAAGGGGGGGGGATATGATCTCCATGTATAATACATAAGGGGGGATATGATCTCCATGTATATAATACATAAGGGGGGATATGATCTCCATGTATAATACATAAGGGGGGGATATGATCTCCATATATAATACATAAGGGGGGATATGATCTCCATGTATAATACATAAGGGGGGGATATGATCTCCATGTATAATACACATAAGGGGGGATATGATCTCCATGTATAATACATAAGGGGGGATATGATCTCCATGTATAATACATAAGGGGGATATGATCTCCATGTATAATACATAAGGGGGGGATATGATCTCCATGTATAATACATAAGGGGGGATATGATCTCCATGTATAATACATAAGGGGGGATATGATCTCCATGTATAATACATAAGGGGGGATATGATGATCTCCATGTATAATACATAAGGGGGATATGATCTCCATGTATAAT